TTATTATCTGTTTTTGTTTTGAGTCTGTCTCTTTGTCTTGAGTCAGTCTTTTTGCTTAAGGGTCTGTCTTGTTGTAGCGAGTCAGTCCCCTTTGTATAGAATACCAGGTGATTCTGGGGTTGTTGCCTCGAACACCGTTTTGTCTTGTAATTACCCGTTTTTGTTTTTGAGTCTGTCTCTGCTGTGGAGCCAATTACATCCGAGAAACCTGAATGAAACAGCTGCGGCTATCATGTTTCTGTGCTTATTGTTTGCTTTGGGCTAGTTGTGCCAGAGGATTTGAATGGACCGACAGTACATCTCGCCTACTCTCCTGCGCGCCAAACTCATTGCATTAGCCTAAGTTTTTCAAAAACCCCTTCTGAACACTGCGGTGATAAAAACGAAAAGGATGGAATTCCTCGGGTTTTGCAAAATTTTGATCATTTTGAGAGAAAGAGAGGCATGCTAAGCCCTTAATGAATGAAATCATGTTTGTCAGCGTTAGTATTGGGAAGGACCCTGGCTTGATTAGTTCCACACTATCTTCGGCACGAGCGATTCGTCGTTTTCTTAAAAACTTTCAAAAACAAATGTTTTACACGGCCCTATGAAGACCTGTGTGGAACCGCTACTACGTGCATAGTGGAACCCCAGCTCCTGACAAAATAGGACAGGGAAACCCTACCCCAACATAGGGGTGTTTTGGCTCTCTTTAACGGTCAAACGTCATGCAAGGTCTGTATGGCCAGATCAGAAGCAGCCCTCGAACAAGAGGCACCAAAGCCGAATCAAAAAGATTAGATCTCACCAAAAGAAGCTCGTGGAGCAGCCATGATGGATTCTCCTACAAATCATTGTAATAGCCGTTCTCCTAGATACAGAGAGGCTTTAACTTCAAAAACCATTTGGCACGGACTTTTTACACTTTTACCCTTTGAGAGGCTCGCTGGGCCGAAAACCCGGAAGGGCGACCCAGGCAAAAGTTAGAGCAAGAGAAAAATACAAAAAAAAAAGAAGCAAAAAAGAAAAAAAAAAGAATGAAAAGATACAAAAAATTGAAAAAAAAAAGAAAATGAAAAGAAGCTCGCAAGGTCGAAAACTCGCATCGGGCACTTTGGCAAAAGTTAGAGCCTGAAAAGTGAAGGTTAAAATACCCGAGTGTACCTTAACCGGAACTACGTAAGGCTTGATTCCCATGTTTGGGATACGCAGGCAACTTCATCCTGAAGTTCAGCCCCCAACGGCATCTCAGTTCCATTACAATGGTTCGATTTCATCCCCAAAATGGTCCAGTCGCCAAACACTCCAAGGTGACTGTGTCCTATATTTGTTATAACCGTCTTCGTCATCTCTGTGTCCAAGAGTTCGACCACCACCAATGAAGACTGTTTGCGGACTGCTGCGGCATCATCCAAACAAGGGGCAACTTTCCGTTGCCACGAGCCGCCGTGAGCCGCCATTCAAACTAGGGGCAACTTTCCGTTGCCTCCCACCCCCCCTTTAAACCAGGGGCAATTTTCCATTGCCTCCGATCTGAGGTTACGCATCTCGAAGGGTAAGTTCCATGCTTGTTGAGCATCAGCTGTTTGAAAAATAGTTTTTGAAAATTTTTACTGAGGTTGACTATTTTCTCGAAAACTATTTCATTTTCCAAAACCGGACCATTGTCTTGGATCCAAAAGGAAAATTTTCAGTGCTTGCTGCCTGACTTGCACGGTTTTCAAACCAAAAATCGAACAAGTACGTTAATCCAACTCTCGTTTTGATCAAAACCGTTTTAGTAGAAGGCAAAAACAAAAAATGGTTAAAGTGATGAACTAGGGCCACAGTTGAGTCAGGTGTTCTGTCTTTCCCCCGTCGTCAACATACTTGCCAGGAGGGCACTCCACTCACCAGAAGAAATAGCTGTGAGCTAACGGCATCGAGCATGAACCCGCAACTTCCTATTCATTCATTAATCACCTTGGGGAGGGACGAAAAATGAGAGAATAAAGAATAGAGAGGTGTAAGTTGAGAGAAAAAGCGAGCCAAAGGGTTTTGAGAGAAAAACTGAGCTTGAGTGCCAGAGTGATGTGAGAATCACAAGTGAGAACAGGGTGGGAAACAATACCCAGAGAAACTGGCTCCTTGTGATCTGAGGTCCCCCGTCTTCGTTAACGTGTCCGCTTGTCGTGTCTTTCGTTTTGTTCACCTTAACTTTTGTTTTAGTTCTTTTCCGAGCGTGTCTCGTTGTGTTTAGGTCGTGTACCCTCTTGTTTGAGTCCTCCCCGCTGTGTTCAGTTGTAGGCTCGATACCTCTGTTGAAGATCCGTTTTATTTCAAAAATCATTTATGCTCAGAGTGCTGTGCCATTCTCTACATCTATGCGAAGCAAAAGAACAAAAAATTGGGGCATCTGAGCGTGCTTCAACTTCAACTGGTTCCAGCTTTGTGTTCCGTCTTGTCAGATTGGGCCGTTTGTTCAGGATTTGCTATGTGCAAAATGAACCGAGTGTGGTGTTAGGGGCTATATGCAGACTAATCCCCAACAGAGTATGGGCTGTGCGTTCAGTTTGAGCAGTGTGTTGCCTGGGCTGTTTTGCTATGAGGCCATTTGGTTATCTGATCATTACAGTACAAATGCACAAATTTTTCAAACAACAAGTCAACTCCATTCACATTGAGGTGGAACATGATGCGATGCGATGCAATACATGAGATATGTAAATGTAACACTTTTTAAGCAAAAAGTTTGTTCATTTCATTATGTTTTTCAAGTACATAGCTTTGAAAACAAAAATCTGCCTGCGGCAGTACAAGGTAATCTAACTACCAGCAAAGAGAAAAAAAGAAAAGTACAAAAAAGAAGAAAAGCAGCAATTTGGATCATCATCAGTAGTCTCGGGCCCGGGGATCTGTCCTCACCCTCTTCCTGGACGAAGGTCCAGGGGCATCGTCATCAGCATCGTCATCTGAGCCTGAGTCTGAGTCGTCTCCAACCTCCTCAGATGACCCGGCCTCTGCCTCTGCCTCGGACTCATCATCATCATCATCGTCATCGTCAGAGGTCGGCGCCCGAGAGCTACTCCTGACATGAGTACGCCCTCCCCTGGTACGGGGGCGTGCAGTGTCTCCGCGCCCTCCTCGAGCAGGAATAGAGGGCCCAGCCGGAGCACCACCCACCGGAGGGATCTGGAAGGGGAGGCTGAAAATCACAAAGGGCAAATACATCAAAATAATGTGAGCAGTGTATCAGTGCAAAATGCAGTGTATGGGTACAGTGTGAATGCCGTGAGTAGTGTATCAGTGCAGAATGCAGTGTATGGGTACAGTGTGAATGCCGTGAGCAGTTTATCAGTGTAGAATGCAGTGTATGAGTGCGGTGTGTGAATGTCGTGAGCAGTTTATCAGTGTAGAATGCAGTGTATGAGTGCGGTGTGTGAACGCCATTAGCAGTTTATCAGTGCAGAATGTAGTATATGAGTACGGTGTGTGAACGTCATGAGCAGTTTATCAGTGCAGAATGTAGTATATGAGTACAGTGTGTGAACGCCGTGGGCAGTTTGTCAGTGCAGAATGCAATGTATGCAGTGTATCAGATGCTGTGAGATCAGTGCGTCAGGTGTGGTGTCGTGCATCAGATTACGCGAATCAACTTATGAATGGTTTGAGACCATTGTCAGAAGAACATACCGAAATACTATAGAGGGCCAGGAGGTCAAAGGTCCGCTGTAGCATCCCCATCATGGAGGCATTCAACTCCACGGACTGCCGGGTGTACTCGGAGGACGCCTGCAAGAGTATAAGATATATCAGTATTCCGCGGAATATCAAATAAACTGAAATGAAATGCAAGATGCAAAATGAAGTAATACATACCGGAGGCAAGTCGGGGATACCGGCTAACTCATGATCAGCCGGGGGAGGAGCAAAGGGGATTTGGTAAGTCGCCCCATCCTGCCCTCTATATGATAGTACAGTGGGCAGGGCAAGCCAGCCAGTCCCCCGTCCCCCCCGAGCTCCGCTCCTGCCATGCACTCGAGCTCTCCTCGATGCTCCTGCTCCAGCCCCCGCTCCCGCTCCAGCTGTTGGCGCCGCTGGTCTCTCCCCCTCAGCTCGGCGACCAGCGCTCAAGGGTCGCATAATGTAGGTCCGGACGTACTCTGCATAGTCGCCCTCGCCTCTGTGATGCTCTGCACCCCAGCCGACGGTGTAATCCCTCATCTCCTGGGCGGCGAACCTCTCGGTATCTCTCATATAGGCAGGAGGTGGACCCGACACTATCTGCTCCGGTAAACCCAGGGTCTGACGCAAGAAACGCTCGCCCAGGTACCAAGCCCGACAGACCGGGCCCTCCAACAGAATCCGACAACGGGCAGTCTCCCCTGCGCCCTCATAGTGATCCCTCACCACGGCCGGCAACGGAGCCCAGGGCTCCTAGGTGATCTGAAAATAATATGCAGTTTATTATCTATCTGTTATTGAAAACATACGGTGCGAAGCAAAGCCAAAAAATAAACTCTAAAGTTGAACATACCTCCACGGCGGTGATGGTGTCGAAGTATCGGCGGAAGAAAATAAGAGACTCCCGTGGTCTCCGCACGCATCGCACAACGAAGCGATGAGAGAAGGGGACGCCGAGTGGGATCTCCTCATCGGGTACTGGGGCAAGCCTAGGAAAGTAGGCATACACCCACAACTGTAGAATAGATATCAGTATGACTATCAGATAAGGCAGAATACAGAATAAAACAGAAATAACAGAACCATGTGTTGTGCAGTGTATACAGTGTGTGCAGTATACAGTCAGTGTAAAGCAGAGTATATATGTGCCGGGTGTGCAGTGTACAGTCAGTGTGGGGCAGTGTACAGTATATGTGCAGTGTGCAGAATACAGAAAGCAGAAAGGAGAAATGTAAAAAGGGAAGAGGACGTACCTCCCAGGCTCACCAGTAGCCACCGAGAAGCTGTCCGTTGAGGCGGGAAGAAGAGCTCATGTAACCGTACAAAGTGGCCAGAGCGGCGCCACCCCAGTCATAATGGTGGATCCGCCTGACGTCCACCAACGCGCTCAACAGGCATAAGGGCATGGTGTTCGCCCGATCGGCGAAAAGGGTCGTCCCGAAAAGGAATATAATGAAGCCCCGCGCGTACTGGTCCACCTCCTCCGGAGACATCTGCACCTCCTCTACCAAGGCCGGCTGGATCCGGAAGTGGCTCTCAAACCACGAGTACCTGATGAACCCTGTTCGAGCGAGGGGAGGCTGAGTGCCGAGCAGGTACCGCTGGGCAGCGTCCCACTCGTCCATATCGGTGTCGAAGGGGATCAGATCACCCCCTACCCTGATGCCGGTAAGCATCGAGAAGTCATAAGGGGTCATCGTCATGTCCCCTGCAACGGAGAAGTGGAAGGAGTTGGTGGTATCCCACCACCTCTCCACTAGAGCAGCAAGCAAGGGCCTGCAAGTGGTAAGTCGGGAGAGCCCCCTATAGAAGATGCCGAAGCCGGCCTCGTCGACGATGTCACGAACCGCGTCTGGCAGCTCTAGGTACCAGTCCCGAGCAACGGTGTTCCCATACCCGCAGATGGTATGGGAATCCCCCTGTAATCAAAAAACAACAATTGCAAGGCAATATTCAAAATGCAGTTCTAAGAAGCATATAGGTATACAGCATGTGTGCATGTTTTCGAATTCCAACAGATACCGGGTGCCGGTGTGCTCGCCAGTGAACTACAGCGTGTGATGTGTCAATGTGTTTGGGTGGTTCAGTACAATATAGCATGTGTGCATGTTTTCAGACTCAAACAGATACCGGGTGCCGGTGCACTTAGAGTGAACTACAACGTGTGATGTGTCAGCGTGTTTAAGTGGTCCAGGACAAATACGACATGCGTGCATATTTTCAGTCTCAAGCCAATACCGGGTACCAATGTGTACGCAGTGAAATACAGTGTGCGCCGTGTGTTTGGGTGATTCAAAGCCAGTGTAGTGTGTGTGCGTGTGTCAGTCTCAAACAGATATCAGTTGCACGTATGTTTACAATCAACTACAGTATACAGTACATCAGAATTAAGCAGTTAAAGAGCATAACCAGCTACGGCAGTTTTGCATCCTACATTGCAGAAAGTAAAGCAGAGAAGGAAAGTTACCTCGGAAGCACCGAAGGACAGGTGGGAGGTAGGCTCACGCAGTAGTAGCTCGGGTGGCACGTGCCTGTCAAAGCTCCTGAACTGGCGTAGTCCGTCAGGAAGCATCACGTGAACCGCGGGCCTGTAGGTCTCCGGATCGAACGGCCGGACGTGGAGTGGCAAGGGCTCGGCCTCAGGGTCTATCTCGTGCTCTGGAGGGATCCCGCCCTGTGGAAGGTCATCTGCCATCTCGAAGAAAATGTGAAAATGGCCGGAAGACGGAAAACCGGGCAAGAATGCGAAAAGTCAACAAAAAGTCAAACCCCGAGAGGGTCGAAAGGGCCGAAAAAGCCGGAGTGTGGAAAAGGTATAGAGATCGAGAGGAACTCGAGGGAAACAAGCCCCGAGTGGCGGAAATCAAAAAACAAACACCGAAACGAAGTTTCGTTCGATTGAAAATGTCCGAAACGCGAAGGAGATCGCGAATCAAACAACGAAATAGGAGCTAGAACGCAAGAAAACGAGGAGATCGAAGGACGAAAACACTCTAAAGAGAGAGAGAGGCAATTTTCGAGCAGGAGGATGTGAGAAATATAGGGCTAGAGGCCCTATATTTAAAGACCCGCGGCCGAAATGTCAAAACTGCCCCGAACAGGGAGTTTTTGCCGGTCGGCCACACTCTTTGCCGGTTGGCAATATATTGTGCTGATGGAATTTTATGAAGGCCGATGGACGGCCGGTGATGTATTCTGATGGCCGGTGGGCATCTGGTGGCCTCCTACAATGGTTTTTGAACCTCCTACATCCTTGTTTGGGTTATATCCGTGGTTCAGGGCCTTCATCGCTCAAAACAGTGCAGAACAGTGCATATCCGACGCTCAGTCGGCCTCCGTTTTGACCTCGGATCGTGCCCTCTGTATGTAGCGCTCAAATTCGTACAAGGTGTATCCTTTCCGCATCCTTTTGGCTTTTGCAAAACTCGAAAGTTGTCCCCATATGCATTTGGGCATGCATTCAATTATGCCGTTTAGCGCATTGCACTGCCTTACGCATCGCATTCCATTTGCGCTGTCCAACGCATCATGCCGTTTCGCGCATCTTACCGTATTTGGCATACACTCATTGTTCGCGCTGTTTTGCGCATCTCACTTGCATTGTCATGCATACATGGTAAATATTGCATTGTCATGCATTGTAGAAAATAAACATGCATTGTCATGCGTTTCCATTATAGCTTGCATGCATCCGTTGCATTTTCCCCAGCAGACCGCATCATACTGCATTATCATGCATTTTTGTAAAATATCCGTTCCATGCCATTTCCATTGCATTTTAGATTGCATGCATTCATTGCATCACCTTCCATCTATGGCTTGCGCCTTTCCATGTTGAGCTTGGTCTGGTATGTGCCCATACTTCTCGTGTCAAAGAATAGTTCAGTGGACCGTTCTATGTTAGCCGCGGCTTGCTTGTGTACATGCCTTTCCTAGGTGAGATTTGGTTCGGCCTGCATGCCATTTCCATTGCATTTTAGATTGCATGCATTCATTGCATCACCTTCCATCTATGGCTTGCGCCTTTCCATGTTGAGCTTGGTCCGGTATGTGCCCATACTTCTCGTATCGAAGCATAGTTCAGTGGACCGTTCTATGTTAAGACACGGCTTGTACGTGCACATGCCCTTCTTAGGCAAAGATTTGGTTCGGCCTGCGTGCCTTATCCATCATATCTTTTCCATTCCAATACACATTCCTTGCGTAGACCGCATGTTTTGCTTGCGTAGACCGCATGTTTATAATCATTTCATTACCTGCGTAGACCACATGTTTTTGCTTGCGTAGACCGCATGTTTTTGCCTGCGTAGACCGCATGTTTTGCTTGCGTAGACCGCATGTTCGTAATCATTTCATTACCTACGTAGACTGCATGTTTTGCTTGCGTAGACCACATGTTTGTTCAAATTTCATTCCTTTGTAGACCGCATGTTTTGCTTGCGTAGACCGTATGTTTATAATCAATTCCATTGCTTGCGTAGACCGCATGTTTTTGCTTGCGTAGACCGCATGTTTTGCTTGTGTAGACCGCATGTTCGTAATCATTTCATTACCTGCGTAGACCGCATGTTTTGCTTGCGTAGACCGCATGTTTGTTCAAATTCCTTACTTGCGTAGATCAATTCCATTGCTTGCGTAGACCGCATGTTTTTGCTTGCGTAGACCGCATGTTCGTAATCATTTCATTACCTACGTAGACCGCATGTTTTGCTTGCGTAGACCGCATGTTTGTTCAAATTTCATTCCTTGCGTAGACCGCATGTTTATAATCAATTCCATTGCTTGCGTAGACCACATGTTTTTGCTTGCGTAGAGCGCATGTTTTGCTTGCGTAGACCGCATATTTGTTCAAATTCATTACTTGCGTAGACCATATGTTTTGCTTGCGTAGGCCGCATGCTTATAATCAATTCCATTACTTGCGTAGACCGCATGTTTTGCTTGCGTAGACCGCATATTTGCTCAAATTCATTACTTGCGTAGACCGCATGTTTTGCTTGCGTAGACCGCATATTTGCATTCAATTTCATTACTTGCGTAGACCGCATGTTTTCCTTGCGTAGACCGCATATTTGTAATCAATTCCATTACTTGTGTAGACCGCATGTTCTGCTTGCGTAGACCGCATGCTTATGTTCGATGTCATTGCTTGCGTAGACCGCATGCTTATGATCAATTTCGTTGCCTGCGTAGACCGCGTGCTCCACTTACATGTCTGTGCCTTCACAGCATTGTTATGCTTCCCACTTACTTTGCGTTGTCAGGCATTTTCAAATACATTAATATGCATGTTGTTAATCACATTGTACCTGTTAAGTTGTTTTCTTTGCAGGCACGATATTGTATGTACGGTTCATTTAAGGCAGGTGCAACCAGACGAGCCGCACAGGTATTATACGGTCTAGGAGACCCTAAATCCTCTGAAGGTGCAAGTCCTTCGGTGTTTGTCGTGCCCGAACGACTTTTGATAAGTTGCATTATACATGTATTTCAAGCGACTCGCGTCGTCGCATATTCAAGTTCACGTGCATCTCAAAAGCCGCGTGTTGTTGCGCATTCCATGCATCATGCATTGTCATGCATTTGCATTTCAAAAACAAAAACAAAACAAGAAATATATAGTTGCATTGTCATGTACCATCGTAAGTAGTTGCATTGTCATGCACCATCGTAAATAGTTGCATTGTCATGCATCATTGCATATTTGTAGATATTGCGTTGTAGCTTGCATGCATTCATTGCATCACCTTCCATTTATGGCTTGCGCCTTTCCATGTTGAGCTTGGTCTGGTATGTGCCCATACTTCTCGTGTCGAAGCATAGTTCAGTGGACCGTTCTATGTTAGACCTAGCTTGTATGTGTACATGCCTTGCCTAGGCAAGATTTGGCTTGGCCCGCGTGTCATATCCATTGCCATGTCCCCAGCATATCCATATATATATTACATTGTAGTGTAGTTGTCGCATCCAGCATTAGGATTGTAGTCCTTTCCCCAGCGGGTCGTTTCCCCACCTTTTTCATCCCCCCCAATACTTGTTCTTGTGTCCGTCTACATTACTCATAGTTCAGTTGACTGTTCTATGGTAGACAGACTTGTTACCTCCATCAATCTATTTGACATAGGTGTGGTTTCGATCCGCTCATGATTGGACCATGATTCAATTGCTTTGCATATAGTTTGCATTGTTTCAATTGCATTGCATTTTCATTTGCATTTCTTATACATTGCATATCATTTTGCATCCATTTTCGCATTGTCATGCATGTTGCTAATAACATCGTACCTGTTGAGTTGTTTTCTTTACAGGCACGATATTGTATGTACGGTTCATTTGAGGCTGGTGCAACCAGACGAGCCGCACAGGTATTATACGGTCTAGGAGACCCTAAATCCTCTGAAGGTGCAAGTCCTTCGGTGTTTGTCGTGCCCGAACGACTTTTGATAAGTTGCATTATACATGTATTTCAAGCGACTCGCGTCGTCGCATATTCAAGTTCACGTGCATCTTAATGCATGCCCCATGTCCATGATTATTCCCTTTTAAGTGTGCTTGAAAGATGCCCCTTGATGCTTGAGTGTTTAGGCCTTAACATGCGCATGTGTGTATGTGTGTTTGGTCCCATCTTCTTAAGCTTTGGCCACTGTTTTAGGACCCTCTGTGCATTGTCTTGTATTTTGCCCCTGCCTTCGGGCGCATATCTTGATTGTCTTGCGTGTTTGTCTAAGTCTTCGGCGTTGTCAAAAATGGGTCGTCTCTGGGCTTTGACATTCACTCCCGTCATTGTTATGACTTTTGAGTTCTGTCAACGAGGGGCAACTGTAGACACCCCATTTTTGACCATCCTCAAGACTTGGACGTCACCGTTTGAACACCCGGTGATCATCCATGTTTGTGTTCGTTTGGAGTTCCCGGAGGT